TGTGCTTCCAGGAAGAGATGGAGACTGGAGAGCTCTACATGTGCACTCTACAATATTCACAGTAACGGGAAGAAAGCTCTGTAATTGTAAATGCAGTTGTACCACATTCTGTGTTCAGCATGACAGAGCAGTTCACTTTAGCCAAAAGGGCTGTTAGGATAGGCTAATCTAACAGTTCTTAAAAATACAGATAATGTTATGAGTAATGGATTGGTAGACAAAAACAGGATAAATTCACTTTCTTAGCGCATATGAAAAAAAGGTAAACTCTGCATTGCCTAAATTTGAAGTTGATAAACTGTTTAGCTGTTAGATCTTACCTACACTGTTGACTGTTTAGAGTAAAACAGGACTAAGGAGGAAAAATTTCTATAATATTTCTCTTTTTGAGAGCAAAAATATCAGAGCTTCAAAAAGGTTCAGCTTTTCTGGAAAGCAGAGAGAGAGGTATTTTCAGAAAGTACTTCAGCAGACCTAATAGCTGATGAATAGTCAGTTAATTGGATTGCTAGGTGTCATACTCTTCTACAGCCACCGAAGAAACATTCATCTGCATGAATTCCTACATAGGAGGTCAGGTACTGGAATCCAGCCAGCGCTGGAATCCAGTGTGCTTCTACTCTGAAGAAAGGCTTTGGATTTGGGGGGATTTTTTTGGTGGTGTTATAAGGTGTTATAGCCTTGTAAGGCTAACTAATGTCTTTGCCGTTTCCAGGTTATACAAGGGCCCATAAAATCTTCTATGCTCGTTAAGTGATAAAGATAGGTTAGTGTACAAGTTTTTTAGTGATACTCCTGTGGTTACTTCCCTTGCACTAGGTTTGTTCTAGCTTATGTAGTTGGAACTTTGTGATGTATCTGTTTCAGATATCCCATCAACCAATCCTTCATTACTATACATATCTATGCATTTTCCTTATAACAGGCATTTGAGATGTAGGAGGTAGTATTGTCTCTGTCTCTGACCAGAACACAGAGGAAATCCCAATATTAGACATAAGTCTGTGATGTAGCGAGAAGCTGAATTCATTTCTCCTGCACTTTAAGGTTAATGATGTAGCTGTTGGATTATTCTTCTGACCAAAAGATGGAGGAGAGAAGAAAACATTTGCAATACAATCTGGAAAAGATTTAGATGGGAAGAAGTCCAAATGAGTGTTATGCCTAGATCCACGCCAATCCAGTACTGTAATGTGCATCTCAGTTGAATCATTAATTTTTTTTGGCAACTTATTACTAATACAAAACAGCAGATCTTTTCTGTGTCTTTTCCAAATTAATTTCAAAATTAATGAAAATATCAAAAGGAAGCATTTGCAGCTGACGTTTTGTTTTCATAGTAAATTTGACATGGGAATGCAATTTTGATCTCTTTAAAAAAATTTCCATAAAATCTTACTATCTATCTTTTGATATGTTTGCTTGATGTATATTTTTAAAATATATTTGTAAATATCATCTTGGAAAACAGCTAACTCAGCAATACTGAGTCATAGGTCAGAGTCGTCAGTGGAGAGCAGTATAATGAAACTGAAATTTAGATGGATAAATGTTTGGTTTCTGTATCTTTTAGTATCTGTTAAATTTCTTCTTTTTCCTCAACATTTCTGTTGAAAGACTCAAGAGTTTAGGTACAGTTCCAAATGATATTAGGCAAAATTTATTTCAGCTCAAATATAATAAAAGTTACATTTTTAAGGCCGAGATCCATATTTCCCCAGAGTTTAGGGGTTTTTGAAGCTTTGATTTCATCAGGGTACATCTCTGTGCCACTTGGAAGCTTTCCCAAGTCTAATTTGAGCTCACAGTATTAAAACAAGCAAAAAATACACGATTCTGTCCTTGCTGTAATACCATTGTTTGATTTTGATGATTGTTATTTCAGCACAGGTTATTACAGTGACAGGTGATTTTTCCATAAAGAAAAAAAAATTGAAGACGAATGGTTCATATATCAGCAGACGTACACACTTTCAAAGAAGATATTTCTTAATGGGGAGGCCTGTCAGAAACGGATTGTGTGATGTCTGCATCTGTACATGAGTAATCACGTAGTCCTAGCATTGACGGCTCGACACGTTCTGAATGACCCATCACCTGAATACTGAAAGTTATATTCCTTTGAGTCCTTCACTTTGCTGGGCTTTGCTATACTAAGAAATATCCACACAAGCTGTAGCCTTTTAGTACAGATGGATGAGCAGGAGCAAGTAACAACGTGTGCGGAGCTTGCTGCATCCATGGGAATGCCTCACAGAGAGCAAAAAGCATACCTAACTGCAGGTCCTTGAGAAGTGCAGGTCAGGCCCATCTCTAAGAAATCAACCTTTACATTTCACCCTCTGGTTTACAGAGTGCCAGGATTGTGCTTCCACTACAGACAAACCATACTCTATTAGGACTTTTCTGAAGTCCCTTTTTGCTCTTCATAGCAGCTACATGTTGCATCCTCTTTCCATTTTACCTTGAATTACTTTTTCATGAAATTTTAGGAAGGAGAACGTATTTATCCTAGTAAATAAAATTGGTTGTTGTTGTTTTTTTTTTCCTCTCTACGTAGCACTTTTGACACAGCACAAACTTGGTTTTCAACACAGAAAAAAATCTCTTTATTACTATCAGAGCATGAAGGGCTCCTCCTCTCCTGCAGCTGCTAGAAAACACTTTGTGCTTTTTACTCTACTCCTGAAGTAGGCACGCTCAGTTTGAGATGCCAGAATCCATAGCTCTTCCTCCCCAGCCCTGTAACCCCATAGCGTTATTACAGGGAATGCTGTCCAAGCCATGTGCCACCACATGTGGTAGCTCTGTACGTATGCAGAGTCACCGTGGAGCTCATGTCTCGAGCACAGAGGTTGTCGTGACCTGTTCTCTCTGGCTTATAGCAAATTTTGAATATCAGTTGCTTTGGACAGCTCTTCCCTTGAACCATGTCCTTAAACTATATCCTCTTGTATAAAAATGTCTCAAAGAGCAGATGGCATTGCTGGGTTTTCTGGGTTTTAGTAACAAAGATTTGGGGGTCTGAAGAAATTTCTCCAGAGATCCACAGATGTCCTGCCAGTCAGGGTCTTCCTGTTTGGGCACAGTGTGCCTTTATGTACATACATTAGCCTGTGGTCTCAAGTTGGAATTGTATTTCTTCTTTTTTTCCCCAACTTTTCTTTTATTGCTGAGATAACTAGTTTGTGCTGGAAAATTAAAGATTTTAGCCTTATAAATTTTCTACCTTCTATCTGAAAATACCTCAGTTACTGTAGCATACTCTTCTTTGTTACAACTTTATTCTGTCCTTTAAATACTTTTTATGAGTCATGAGAGTTAGAACAGGAATTTTTAGGCCAGAACTTTTTATCTTTACAATGGCTTATACTCTTTGGGCTTCTTGTCTGTTCTCTTTTCTTACCTTGACACAGTTGCCATCACCATTACTCCTGTGGTGTTACTCTCCAGTGGTCCCATTGTATTAATCCTCTTCAAAGTAAATTGGATCATCTTTAAGGTTCAGAGAATTATTTCAGGATTTTATTACCGGGCAAGCCACTGGCATACTAGGTTTTTTTTTCCAGTGTACCTACTTGTTCTGCATGATTTCAGTACATCTGGCTGAAGTCAGTATTTTAGTCTTTGCTTTAATTTCTTTTCTGTCAAACGCCTCCAGCAAATTAGCTTTAGCACTGTCCATCCTTTCCCCTTAGAAATTTAATCAGCTTCGTGCTGAATACCCAATGTAGTGGAATTGTGTATGTTTGATTTCTACATAATTATTTGTCAAAACTTGCTATGATTGCATTGATTGCATTAACTTTTGCAGTGCATTGTTGTATATCTGCAGGCCAAGCAACATTATTGGGGGGAGAAATGGATCAAATCCATTCAGATGTCACTGTAAAATAGATAAATTTGCAATCTTAGACCCAAGCAATGTCTGTGGCAGGACTCAGAGGTGGTGAGGCTCGGAGCAGAGCACAGCAGAGCATGCGATGCTCGGGGCAGCCCGTCCGTTAGAGGTCGAGCTTTACGCCAGTGAAGACCAGGGATGTAATACCTTGTGGTACCATGTGATGGAAGTCCACCCAAACCCATCTATGCTGTAGAGGCCTTTATGGTGAGGAAGGGGCAGGTGCTTTCAGTGCGGGTGAATCCCCTTCCAAATAAGAAGGGAAACATTGTTTTTACGGGGAGACCATATGGTGCGATTGGATCTTGTATAAAACAAACGAGGCTTCATCTAAAGTGATTTAAGTTCAGATTTGATTTGCTTTGAGTTTCACTGAATAACATTTTCCTTAACTAACATCTTACCTGTGCATTCTTCATGTGCTACACATTTCTGATACAGATACCTAAAAGAGATGCTACTGTAGGTTTTTCAGGTAAATGAAGCTATAGTTCTGCAAAGTGACCACAATTATGGTATTCATAGCTTTCTGTGTAATTCATGGTGATAGTCAGGTACTTCCTTTGCTTTTATTTATGCAAAGCTATAGTAATAATCTGCAAAAGAGCTGGAGGAGGCTGATACCTTTGTCAAATACAAATTCTTGTAGAGGACCATTGCTAATCTTCCACATCTCAGGCCAAATTGTTCTCTTATGCAGCCCTAAACTCTGAAGTCAGCTTTTCTTTTTCTGCAAGGATGAATAGGTGCTGTTAGTACTCAAATACAAATCTTTGCTGTGATTAGCTCTTTTTTCACAACTTGCAGGTGGTGATGGGAAGGTATACATATATATATTTGTGATTCTTTCCCCTGAAGTGTAGTGTCATCATGAAAACTAGCACTACATAGAATTGCAAAATACAGACAAAACTAGCAATGCTTTCTCAAACCTGCAGAAATACCCTTAATGAGGTGAGTTTCGTTTAGTTGCTAATGAGCAAGGAAAAAAGCCAAAAGCAGGGCAGAGAAGCATTGAAAATGGATAGTTAGTGTTACAACATGTTTTTCTGCTGAGGCCTTTAGAAGAAAGCACTTACAGATGTTTGATTTCTTTCAGGTCATCAGATTTTGGGACGTTGTACACAAAGCTGAATCTACAGCCTGGGATTGCCACTGTCATTGACAATTTCTACATTTGCCCCACCAACAAAAAAAAGGTATGTGGCAAAAAATGACTCCTTCTAGTGCAGCTGGGACTCCACTACTACGTGAAGCTTGTTTTATAGGTTTTTTTTTTAAAAATAGAGGAGTGGTTTTCCCGGGGTTGCTGGTCACCACAGGTACAATTGTGACATATGGAAGTAGGTTTTTTATTTTCGCTGTACAGTATAGTAGGGGAGAAATGCCTTGCTGGACTCTGAAAACTTTTGAGGACGTTGACTTTGAGGAAGCAGTTAAGTTTTCACAGATCCATGCAAGTTCTGGGACTAGCATTCAGCCTCCTTTCTCGTTATACAGAAGTTCAAAGTCCTTTGGAGGTTTCTTGGTATAAAGTGTAGGAAATGGACAATCTATCTTTGAGAATGATATTTATCCTGTGTGAAACTTTAGTTAAAAAATAAAAAGTCCCTCTCCTTGAACCTCTTTCTTAAAGAGCGTTCCTGCATCGTTACTGAACCAAAAAGCCTTTCACAGATCCTAGAAAGATTAAGTGAACTTTATAAGTGAGAGTGAAATCGAACCACGGAATATATTTACAATGGATGCTATATATTAGAAGCAAGCAAGAAGAGTGAAAATAATAAGAACCCTTCTATGTCTGCAAAATGCTCATGATTTTAACTGCAGGAATTGTGAAATATGTATGGTGAATACATTGTTGTGAGTAATACAAGCATAGGAGGTCTTTCATGAAGTAAGAATTTTCTCTCGATAGAGACCTTTCAACTACCGTGTAATGCAGAAGAATTGATTTCATGCAGAGGCCACTGATTGGGAGGACAGTGCTAGTTGTGTTTATCTATCTGTACTGCCTGATCAAAAATCAGTGGAACTCAGAGAGGCTGCCTGGGTGATTAAGTACATTTTTTATTTCTGTTGCAATTGTGACTGGAGTTTTTGTGACCAAGCTATGCTATGCCTGAGTTAGATAATACATTTTTAATCTGCTGTGAAGTCAGTAATGATTTTTCATTTCTTGAAGTGGGACTACCACCAAGCACAGAATTGCTGAGCTCTGTGCATCTCAGAGCTAAGATTGGCTGGTGATTTCAAGTGCAAAAAGAATCCAAAAAAAAATCTTCATTCATGTCAGTTTGTGACATGAAGGCTAGAAGGAGGAGGAATCTAGAGAGAGCTTTGCCCAGCTTCTCCAGCTGCGATGTAAAGGCCTCCACAAACACGTGGGGGTCAGTGACAGTGTAGATATGCCTGTTGTCTGGCAAAATAAACAGTGGTAAGATCACTGCTGAATTCCAAGACTGAAGGACACTGGTGTTTACAAAAATCTCACGTTAACCTGTTTTCAGAAGAATGTCATTTCTGCTCAAGGCAACTTGAAGTCCATAGACATACAAACTCGGCTTAATAAACTGATGTCGTTTTGGAATTCACTTGTTAAATGAAGTCTGTTTTGGTAGTCATTAAAAATGCTATTTTTATGCTGAGTTTTGCTTTCAACAAGATGTTCTAAAATATGCAAACAACAAAAACAAAAGAGCAAAAACGATTTCTAGGGCTTGTTAATGAAGCCAGATGGAGATACAGTTCTACATACGAAAGTGCATGCATACACACACATGGTACAGGAATGATGAAAGCAGTGCAGTTAAATTGTTTAGCCAACGATTTCACATCTGCCTTGGGGGTGTTGCAGTCACACGTGGTGGGTGAGGGGGAAGTCCCCATGTCGCAAGACAGTAAGAACGTAGTTAGTTGTAATGGCAACTTTTCTGATGTTGGACATTTGATTAAGGCAACTAAGGTGGCCTGGTGATTTCACAAAAGCTACTTCAAAAGATGGAAAATGTCTCCCTATCTGTCCATTTCAGCAGAATTGCACTAGGGTGGAAGGGACGATTAAGAGCTCTGACTCCCTTTACTGAGCTGAGGAAAAGTCTCAGGATTTCACTCTTTCCATTTACTCAGCGTAGATGTCATCTGCAGAAGAACTCTTCCTGCACATACAGAGCTTGTCATTTCCACCTCACTGTCGCAGAGAATTGTCCTGGCCTGATTTTAGCTGTGTAGACTTTAGGTGTCTACTCTAAGCTTGCTCGTTCTCCCTCTGAAGTCAATAGAGAAACTTGAGTACCTCCACAGACAGTTCATCCTGTCACAATCATAGTTAATCCTATTTGTAAGAGTAAGATTGAATAGTCTTGTGGAGGTTGCTGTAAGTGTCTTTGTGACTGTGGGTCTGAACAGAGCCCAACTGCAGCTGCCTACAGAGGCATATAAAGAGTTGGGAGGCGGCTTTTATTTTGCAGTGGAGTTAGATCAAGTATTTGCTAGAAGGGTCCAGTCTAGTTCATGAACTGAGATCATTTCCTCAGTTTATCTCCACCAGTATACCACCTCCTGCAGTGAATTAGGTTTTTACTGAATGTGCCTGTAATCTGTGAGTTGTAATTATAACCAGTGGACTTAAACGTGTGGTTTATAGTGCAAATCTGAAATTATAATTTCATTCATTATAAGTTCGTTCCCTGCGGATTGCTCTAGTTTACATTTTCTTGAGAAGACCAGTTGACAAGAAAATACTGAGCCTTCTTATCTTTCCTACCCTCTTGTTAAAGACGTTAAAATTCCACAAAATTATGCTTTTTATTATGAAGTGCATTAGCAAATGCCGAGGTTAAAACCATATCATTTTCACCTAGTGCTCCATGGAAAAAGGGTTGTATAAGAAAGAATCAGTTACAAGGTTAACTGTGGGAATACTGTGGACTTTGAACTGGCTGGTGGAAGGAAATAAATCCATTTATAAAGCCCATTGAATCCATGCAAAGAAGTGGCACATTCCTTTTCTATCTTAGCTTTCTGTGATGACTACTGTTCATAGGTCTCCAGGAGCAATCAGGAAGGAGATATCAAGGCCATGTCTGCAGAGTCTTCTGCAGATTGAAGTAAATTCACTATGCCTGGGTCTTGCACTGGCTGAATGCAGGAAAACTCTGATGTAAAAATCGTATTGCTGCAGTAACCACGGGACTCAAGCTAACAAACTCAGTTTCGACAAGAAATAACGGCAGAGCTTGGAGGGCAAAGCTTTAGAGCCCTTTGCGTGTTGCTCTGACTGACCTTTCTGATGAAATCATGGTGTGAACTATGACTGTATTGTTTCTGATTCAGAGTTGAACTGCAGTCGGGCAGCAGCAAAAGTAGAGAAGACAGTTGCGCCTAGCTGCAAAAGACCATGTAGGCTTACCCTACATGCTATGAAACAAGAGAGTAATGCGAGGTATAGCAGTGTAATTAGAATTTAACACTTCCTGAGGATGCATTGTTCGCTCTGCATTATGGCTCTTTCGGTGTAGCAGAAACCTGCATCCAAAGACAGCAAAACCATTAATCACATTGGTCTGACATGGTTTGGGGAAGTTGTAGGGTAATGAGAGTGAGTTCTCCTGTGCAACGTCTGTGACTTCTTCATTTGGAGGCACTTTTTCATTGATCCGTGACATAAAATAGTCTTACTGTATACTGCAGGCCATGTTACAGTCCCTGGAGTGCCATGTATTGATAAGGAATGTTCTTACACTATAAAAAATAGAACTTAGTAATTATCTCCTTTTCAGTAATTACTCTGTGCTGGTGTCAAATGGTTGCAGGCATCCTAGAATGGGCAGTGTGGGAAAATAATTTGATCTGGGTCCTCTCATTTCCAAAGCAGCATTGTAATTGTGATTTGGAGGTGGGGCATGTTTGCTCATGGAGTAAGGAATTCTGCTTTCCGCAGTGTCAATCTGGAACCAGCCAAAGTAAATCCTTTCTACAGAGAACAAAAGTTAGCAAATTCAGTTTCACTGAGGTAAATGATCAACAAAATGTAGAACATTTTTACAGGGAATATATGCTGTTAGATGTATAAATTACATATTTATTTTAATTCTGTTTGTATAATGTGGCTGGGAAGGAGTCGAGTGAAAACTCTGGTTTTGTTCCACATTCAGCAAATATTTTAGTTTTCATTGGTGCAAATGCAAATGAAGCCTACATCCTTATGTTTATCCTCTTCTGCAAGAGGCAGCTAAGCAGTATACATTCAAGTTTTCATATTAATAGAAAATAAAGGTTGTTCATTGTGCATACACTGACTTAATAGTTAAATGGGTTGAACACTTATATTTCCTAGCAGTCACAATAATCAATAGCTGCATGTTTTTTTCAAACTAAATGGAAAGATGATGAGTGTGCATTCTTATGAGTATGCACTTATACGTAAGATAATAATAAGAAAATAGGCTATCCTGTATAATATTTAAATGCCTGATGCTTTAAAAATAGTAATAGTATGAATTACACATGATAGCAAAAGGCTATTTGCCGTGGATATAAAAACATTTCCCAAGAAGCAACTGGGTTGAGCAGTGTTTAACAGCACTTATAGGTAAATGTAATCTTCTTGTATGTTGATGTTTGTCTTTCAGAGCTAAACAATTGATGGTGGAATTTGTAAAAGGCACTTCTTTTTCCTTAAGTATCAGTTTTCATTAGAGACCCCACCAGAGTATCTTCAAACATAATGAGTAGAACTGTCTTCCAATCTTTGTAGTAGAAGTTGTCAATTTAGGAATAATTCCTTTCAAAAATGTGAGTACTTACTTCAGGAAGGTTTCATTGTGAAATTACAGAATATAAGTCTGTATGTTGTGATGATGCACCCATCCTCCCTCTATAATGACATATTCTCTCTTTATAAACAGTGTCACTATTCAGTAATATTCTAGTGATGCAGCACCCAAGTACTGATGTAACCTAACTGCATCATGTCACTTAAGACTTCTAGGACTTTCAGTTCTTCTTCAGACTTTTCAGAGGCATCCAGAAGTATGCCCAGTCATCAAGAATTTACACAGTTTGCTACTTAAGTGGATTGCTATGAAAGTCAGTGCTGTGCAGAATCCCACGTTTATTCACACATGGCTGATGAACTGTTGCTTTATCGTTAGCTTATCTAGGCAAGAACTGGTGTCTCTGAAATGCTAAGAAGTTC